CTTTCTTTCTTTCTTTCTTTCTTTCTTTCTTTCTTTCTTTCTTTCTTTCTCTTTCCTTCCTTCCTTCCTTCCTCTCTCTCTCTCTCTCTCTCTCTCTCTCTCTGTCCTAAGTTAGGAAGTTCTGACCACATTGAGTTGGCTGGCTAGAGCTATTACTGTCTCCTTTGAGATGTATTCACCAGCTCATCAGTTTCTACCATTCCCTATTATGTCTCACGGGCTGCTTACCCATTTATATTACTTGCTTGCGTGCTAGGTGATTGCTCTTGTGATACTAGCTTAAATCTGAGGCTAGAACATACTAGATCTGAAGTGAGAGAATAAGAAATCAAAGGAGGCAATCAGCAAGCCTCAATAAATGAGGAGAAATACTTTTTATATTCAGGGTGGTTCTATCAATTATTGTGAAGTTTTTTGAATAACATGTTTATGTGTACTTGCATATCTGCACAAGATATACCCATGGATGAGCATACACAGGGAGAGAATTATGAAATCGGCAAAGATCACAGTTTCAAATGAGTTCTTTGAGTGATCTCTCTTTTCCTTCAGTGGGTCTCACCTACTGCCAATCAGTAGGTCCAGCTTAGTACAATGTGAGGGTATTTAGGCACATGACGCTGAATCAGTATTTTACCAGATCCTCACCAATCACTTTGTTGTTGGCCTAACATCCTCTTTGATTCCATGTACAAGGTCTTGTTCCCCTTTGACCAAGGCCATTCCTGCTACTTCTATTTCAATAATAGGGCTCTTCTCCATTCTTTTCCTGGCATCTTGCCTTAGTTTCTTGCTGGATTTTTAAAAGCTGGGATTCTGTTTCATGCACTCTGCTCTGTCTGTTAACTCAGGTTCTATTTTGGAGCCCTAAAACCTTTAGGGGAAGAAATTTTCACTTCCTTCTTCTGGGATTTTCTTAGGCTAAATGCTTGCCTCACTGGACCCTCTCCCAGTGGCCTGAGGAGGGCCACACCTCATCTGCATTCAGACCTTTTCTAGGCACATCTACTTACAGTCTTCCTGGGCTACTGCAATCAAAGTCCCATCCAGATGATCTCACATTTCCATGTGTTTGTCAGCCCTGTCCTAACATCACAACATTTTTCATCTTTGAGGAAAGTCTAGGAAATAAAGGGCATCAGCATAGCAGAAAACTGGCTGGAAATCGGAGAGGCTTCTCTAATAAGCCTTCTACTTTCCTTGTTCTACAACCCACAGAGTTGAGCCCATCTTTCCTTGATTATCTCAAGTTGGGGGCTCATTTAGGACATTTGGTCATTTTACTCCTGATTTTCTTCAAAGGACAAAAAATGAGCTTAGTGACTCTATAACTAGGTCAAAATTTCCCAGAGTCTCTTTACATATTAATTGGCAAATAAACAGAACTCCAGTGAACAACTATTCCTTTTGGGCATGAAAAGTTGTATAGAGGGTGACCATGGAATGAGATCTAGCCAAAGGCTCACAAGTGGTGCGTTCTAGTCCAGACTCTGCCACTTACTACCTGGTCTACACTTACTACCTGATCTGTGGAAAGTCACTTACCTTCTGTGTGTGTGAGTTTCTTCGTCTGTTTAAAAATAAGTAGTTTTTAACAAGGTTACTCACAGGGTTGTGAGGATTTCCTAATACAATGGATGTGAATCATTGTCCAAATGGGAGATACTAGCATTAAAAGATCCCACCTGTCACTGTTGATAAAAAGAATACCTTGTTTATAAGAGTGTTTAATGACACCTTCATACATTTGTCATGGGATTCTTTGACAACCATGAGTCAGAGATTTGCTCAAGCCCATGCAGCTCTAGAGTGAATTAAGTGCCCAGGTCTCCTGACCCTATGAGTTGGGTGATCTGTTACATTCCCACTGTGGAAAGACCATCTCTGACAGGACCTTCCATTCAAGGAGGGCAGAGGTGCTTCTGGTCATGCTCTGCACCCCATCTTACCCACTGCAGTCTGGTCTTGCCATGTTTGGGCTGTCACTCAATTTATCTTTCTAGGGAAGATGACACAGGGCACTTCATTTCTGTCAGTGTTAGGAGGCTTCTGAGAGATGATGTGCCTCTTTTGGGAGCCTGACTTCACTACTTTTTCTCCCTTTTGTTGCTGGGTAAATTTTGTCTGAAGGAAGAAGAAGAGTGGCCAGTTATTAGAATGGCAATGAGATCACTAGTGTAATCTCTGCTGGTCTGTTGCCATCATTCTCTTTAGGAATGGCAATGGCCAAAACCAAAACCCTTTGCCTTCAGGATATGGCCCCTTGCATTCTCATTCTCACCTTCCTCCACAACAACATGCAACCCGTGAAGCTATGCATTGTCTTTCTGTACAAAGAACTCCAAATTACCTGGCTTGCCTTCCAGGCACTAGCACTGGCAAGTGATGCTGGGGCAGCTCCCAGTCCCTGTCAGACTTGTAGAAGGTCTGAGAAGGTGGGATGGCTGGTGAGGAAACCAGACCTTCCATTCACAGAGGCTGCTATCTATAACCTTGACTTTTAAGCAGCTCTTGGGCTCAGTTGTGGCTTCCATGACTCTCTGGGGATTCTCTCAGAACCTTAACTTAGCATTAATTCCACTTTGGTGCTTGTATAGAAGTGAGTTAGGCTGAATCCGATTTTGACAGGCTCGAGTCCTTCATAGCTTTTATTGCTAATATCCTGCCAAGTAGAACAACTCTGCTTTCCATTTTATGTACCTTACTTTGAAAGGCTGGAGTATTAGGGAGGCTGGCAATAAAAGATCATCTGGGACACTCTTCCCCCAGCAATAGTGCTCTCCTGGAGGATGGGTCAGGGACTCCAACTTCCTAAAAGTGCCTGTATTACTTAGAGGTGAGCAAAGACAGCCACAGAGAAACCCTTCCCTAACTATCTTGACTACAGGCCTCTCTGGAAGCACTAAGCTCAACACCTTGGCTCTACATGCTGAGGAATGTCAGGATGTGGAGCTGGGTTTCCAAAAAGTTTCTCCCCTGTCTCCCATTGTACACTTGGACAAAGCAGCTCTGAACTGAAGAAGAGGACTTCTGATTCATGCCTACCCTGTGACAGGACACAGCTGCACAGTGGAGAGCACATGTCTTGATGGGGTAAGGTTGCTACATGAAGCTAAAGACAAATACAGAGAAAAACTTCATCAGAACTCAGGACACAAGCACTCACTGGAGGACCTCCAGCCCAGGAGGGCCATCCCAGAACAGCTTCCAGGTAAATACCTCCAACGAAGGAGTTGGGAAAGTGAAGTTGAAGCAGTGATTCTCCAGGGACTTTAAGGAGACCTGGTTTGGATGCTGTAATACCTTTTGTCTTAGTAGACATTTCATCTGGATGCAAAGGTCATGAGGCCAACCCCACAGACCCAGGGAAGTAAAATAAGGAGACTGGGCCAGATGAACACTAGAACCACAAGACTTTAGGGCTGTTTGGACTCTATGGATCATGGGCAATATTCCATAGAGGCCTCTACCATTAAGCAATGAGAGGACATATGCAAATGAGTAGAACAGGAAAGTTGGCATTTTATGCCCATAAGCAACAGAAAAGAGTATCCCCAACCTGAAATCCATGTGGAACCCAAGGCAACTTTAGTACTTGGGAGTGGGATTAACTCCTTGAGGCTGAAGATGGGGGGAGAAAAAGAAATAACACGGCTCAAATATGGGATGCTAGGACCAGAGTGTTTATTACAGGAATAAGAAGATCAGCAGCAGGCACTTCCAGGAACCAGGATGTATAGATTGGAGGTCCTGTTCAAGCCCACAGGTGTTCTCAGTGGGAAGGGAAAATAACAATTGGGATGTTACAATCATCTCTTAATAAAGGTCACACATCACACCCAGAAATGGCAGAGGAGCCAGCAGAGATACAGACAAGGTTAAGGAACCTGCCTTCAAGGGGCTATAAAAGAATCAAGAAAGTACAGTTATTCAAATGAGAGCTATGCACAGAGGCCCAGAAGGACAGCCAAGAGATCCATTTCTCATCCCACCTCTGCCACTCACAAGCTGTGTGGTTTGGAAAAAGTTGCTTCGCATTTTGGGTACCTCAGTCTCCTTGTGGTCACTAAGGAGATTGGCCAAACTGGCATTAGTCATCCTCTAACTGTGGAGTAGGCTTTTGACATCAGTGGGATTCCAATCCCAACTCACAATTTTGGACTGAACTTGTTACTATTTCCTGCTGTTGAGGCCAAAACCACTCAATACCTCTGAGCAAGGTGAATCTTAAAATGGCGTGATCTCCTAGGGAAGAAGGAGGAGGGTGTATTAAAATCCCTTATAACATCTGACAAAATAAATCTGTGTAAGCAAGGAAACTCTTAATGACATTCCTCTGAGTACAGTATGTTAATGATAGACATTATCTAAATCCAAACCTCTAAATTTGAGATCAGGGATCTGGGGTGGAGAGAGGAGAAGCAAAATGCTCAATGTCCTCCAACACATAAACGATGACTCTTCAGGACAGGAACCCAAGTGTCCTGCCCCTTAATTTAGGCATCCTGTTGCCCTCTTCCAACTTCAGACACCAGAAAAGATTTGGGGATTTACTTCCTTAGAGCTCAGCAATAGGAAATGAGCCAAATATTGGAAGCTGTTTGGTTACCACTAAGGGGCATGTTCTTGCTCCTCTGAGTATCATTTGCCCACCCTGCCTGCTCACCTCCCTCTCCTTTCCCTGTTAGTATCCTCCAACCCATCCCTCCACCCTCACTTAAATGAGCCTTTATTCCCACAGGGACACTTGGCTCCACATACTGAAAAGATTGTTAATTTCTGTCTACTGATGTGACACTTTACAAGGCAGAGAAAAGGATAATGAGCAATATTAATTGGCTATGAGGGCAGCCCCAGCTAGGGAGGTAGGTGTTTTATTTCCTACTCAGGTGAGGACCCTCTCAGAGGGGCAGAAACTGGTCCAGAGTTGTTTCCCCTACCATTCAGGCAAGCTAGGGATGGGTTAAGTCTCAAGAGCCTCATTTGTACTCCTGAAAGGGGGCAGGATACTTGTTTGTGAGGGGGCTGGAGGAGGGACAGTGTTAAGTGTCAGGTAAAATGGACATGAGAACTGGGCAGAATTTAAGCTGAAACCATGGAATGGTCAGCTCTTTCACAGGATAGTTTGCTGCTGTCTCTAAGACTCCTATCTTACCTCCATATTTTGTTTTGATGCTGGTACTAGACCCAGACTCACCAACCTGTTCTCTTTGGTTCCCAGAATGTTTCAAAGCAAAAACATTCAGTCTCATCCTCTCTAGGCATTGCTCTGTGCACCCTCCTCCCTCTCTTTAAAACTCCCTTTTGCTTAAGCACTGATCTCAGTGCAGATATTAAGAAAGGGACTGAGTTTAGCTACTCTGTGCTAAGAAAACATGTGTGTATGTGTTTTCAAACACATCTATTTATTTGTAAATAGATTAATATAAAACATATGAATAATATATATTGATAATGTCTAATTATAATATATTAATAATCAATATGTAAATCTCTCATAATCACAGTGAGCAGAGATAGTCCTATTAACATTTTATTTCTGAATTTTTTTCATGCTCTCATAAAATTATATATATATGCATAAAGATATAGATATATATATAGATATAGATATATAGATATATAGATATATATTTACCACTTAAGTGGTTGTCACTTAACACTATAAAATACATAATTTTCAGATGGTAGGGTTTCTGGAGATAGTTGGAGCAGGGGGCTTCTTAAATATCAGTAAAGCAGGTCCCCTCCTCCATTTACCCACCACATAGACAATGACAATGACCCACATCCCAAAGCTATTGGGAGGTACTGCCAGCGATTGGTGCATGGGTTCCCTTTATCTGGCACTAATAGCCACAGATAAAATACACTTTAATGCTTCTCTAAGAGTACAGTTAATGAGATGCCCACCCCTCCAGAAGACAATATCCTCTGTGAAGTCTGAAGTTGGTCTTTTGGACCCTTGCTTTCCCTTCATGAGTCTGATTTGCTGGAGAATGGGGCTGTAGGTCATGAACATAGGTATAGAACTTACCTCCACTCAAAGGAGGATACTTGTGCACGGGCTTTTGAGAAGTTTTTTTATCCTTAAATATCTTCCCCCTGTACTGGAAGTAAGAGTGGGCTGCCTTCCAGGAAGAAAACCTGTGAAAAGAATGGCTTCTGGTCACAGGGAGAAAGCTATCAGCTAAGGAGGCTGGAGCATGGAGCACAAGGGAACCAGAACAGGGACAGTCCTTACAGAGAATGGAGTGTGTAATAGAGAAGAGAAAAGACTTGGCCTTGGAGTGCTGCCTGTCAGAGGCCCTTCTTCTGCGGCCTCCTCTGTGTCCAGGCCTGGCTCCAGTGAGGACCTGCCATGCATAGTATGTTGGAATTCCCTTCTGGAACCAGTGAATGGAGTCTTTAAAGAACCTACTGTACATAGGTCTGAGGTGGGGGTCAATCCCTGGGATGCTTGCTTGAGCATCAGAGTATGAACTCCCTACTTAACCCCACCTGGTACAGCCAGAGTGTCTGACTGACTTCCTCTCAGGTCCCAATCCCTGGTTTCATCCTGTCCCTTGCTGAAGGTCATGACCCTGTCATCGTATTCCCAGCAGCCCTTTCCCCAGAGTAGACAGACCTCTGCTCTTCACATGAACTTGGACTCATATACTCACTGGAACCTGAGAACTACTGCTCCCTGGAATCCCTCACAATATTCTTCATCTCTTTCTCCCTGGCCCTGAACCCCTTGCTGTCCTTCAGCCTACCCTTGCATTGGCCCCCTTAAGGTCCAGTCTCGGCTAAGACTGGATTTATTTTCTATCCCGACTTGGCTCTGATGGTCTTGACTGCTGCCCTCCTTCCTTTCCTTAAAGGACACTCTATTTGATCACAGTTGGTTTCTGCCATTCCATTTGCTGAAATGGGTCTCCCTCCCATTATGCAGCTCCCAGTGTGACATGATGCATTCTTTGTGGTACTTAAGAGACAGAGAGACCTGGTTTCTAATCCTGGTTTACCTAATTCCAAGTGATCCTATGTGTCTCTTAATTCCTTTGAGCCTTGGTTTACTCATCTATAAAACGGGGATAACAACACTTTGTTCCACCCACCTCATAGGGTTATTAAGAGGTTCATCTGGGATAAGATATGTGAATACAGTTTATGCAATATAAAACTCTTTATATAGGAGTATACAGTAAAGCAAGGAAAGAATCAACTACATAAGGATTAGGGATTCAAAGCCTCCCTAAAGCACCCCTATATTTCCTAAATAAGTATAAGAGACTGCAGAGCACTGACTCAAGCCAGGAGCAGCATGCATTTCCCAGGGGTTTCTCATTCTCCAGAATCAGGAAAAATTTCTATTTAATCCTGCTCAGCAGAACTAAGTCAAATCTAGTCTTAGTGCTAGGTAACAATTGGTGTTCAAAAGGCTAACCTTGTTGAACTTTGCTTTTTAATTTCTTTCAATCCTGTATTAAATAATTTATTATCATAGGGATTTTAAAATAAAGGTTAGAGATTAGTATGCAAACTTTACACTTATTTTATAATAAGGTAATGTGTGTGTGTGTGTATGTGTGTGTGTGTGTGTGAGAGAGAGAGAGAGAGAGAGAGAGAGAGAGAGAGAAAGAGAGAGAGAGAGAGGAGGGGGGAACCCTTAAGACTTGGAATCACATAATAATATAAACATCTCAATTAGCCTTGTCTTGGAACATTTCAGCCAGTTGTCCTCTGGTCACTGTCACCCAGGGCACTGCCATTCATTATGTGGAAGATACAGGCTGGAGCCACAGTGTACCACAAGAGTAAATAACCACCTGGGAGAACCTGAGCCAGTGTCTCAGTCCAAACCTTGACAGGATAGGTTAGAAACCAGTGGGCCACAGGTTGCATATGTCCTGCAAATATTTTGTTTGTTTCATTTTTGTTTTTTGGCCTTCAGAGTTTCCTTACTATGGTTTAGTTTTGAGTTAGTTGCCACATTTGCCACTTTAACTTCCAGAGATAAAAGTCTAAATGTCTAAGCTCCTCTTGAAAATTGAAATATTATGGTATTTGGACCTAACAGAGTAAAACTCTGCTGTCTTACTGCCTCAATGGGGCTCCTTAAGCACAAGTGCAGTTGTGTGAGTCTTGACAGAATTTCTCCCCAGATAGCCATGTTCCATACTCATGCTTAGGTGAGGAACCTATGCCTAATAAAATTAACATCCTTTCCCAAGCATGTGGGAGCCAGGGGATGTGGGACCCAGGCACTCTGATCCCCAGTCTTACTTGACCTTCCATCTTCTGATTTAGTTTCAGTGTGGGAGTATGAGAGACCAAGTGTAGCAAGTAGGATAAGGATACACCATTGTAGTTCCCATGAAAATGGAAACCATGAAGTAGAGAGTTAGAGGAAGACAGAAAACTCTTTAGGAAGTCAAATGTGTTTTCCTGCCCTTATAATCTTTGGGCAAGGGGAAATACTTACCTTTTCCAGAAGTACATAATGATGGGAAAGAGAGACATGATAGTCCCATGGAAGATGCTCCGATCTAGGTGGCCCTCTGCAATGGAAGCAAGGATAGCATCCTTCTGGGATTCAGAGATGTTCACCTACCCATAGAATGGGAGCCTGTCACTGACATAATTCCAGGGAAGGCAGAAAACCTCTTGTGACCCCTAGTACCTATAGGTACCCTCAGTACCTATAAGACCATCCTCTCCCCAGAAAGCGGCATGTTGTCATGCAACTTCTAGTAAAGGACATCTGGTTGACACAGGACTTAGGAAGTGCCTATTAGCTATCATTTCTTGTGGAAGAAATGCTTCTTGGCAAAAGCCCAGAAAGAAGTGAGAGTTCCCTTTACCCTCAGCCTTGGAGGAATTTCAGAATTCAGGTAGAGCTTTAGGATGATATTAAGTTTGGACCTCATTAGCATCACGTCATTCTCGTTGTATGCCCGGTTGACTTGCAGCATGTGAGCTGAACTCACCAAATTATTAAATCTAAAAAGAAGCAGTAAGCAGGAAATCAGCTAGGAGAAGATCAAAGCAGCAACTAAATAGGGCAGCCAGCCCAGACCCATTTCTGACCTAAGAAAGACAGGGCCAATCCTTGGCCAGGTTGAAACTTTATTCATTTAATCATAATGCATCCATTGGCAGATACTGAGCACCTACCACAGGTCAGGTAATGTGCTAAGTGCTTCTTCAAGTGTATTTCTTTACTGCAAACGCCCTTTATCCCATCCTCCCTCCACCCTTGTCTCTGTACGAGTTTTGCCTCTGACAACTTCAGGAACTAAGGGCTATCTTTTTCTTTGTTTTCCCTTCTCTGCTGACACTTTCACAATTACCACCACTCTCCGAGGCAAGATAGTGCTTTTCTCTTGCCTTTTTAAAAAATTTTCTTATTTTTCTAAATTATAGTAAAATATACTTAACATAAAATTTACCAGTTTAACCGTTTTTAAATGTACAGTTCAGTGGCATTAAATACATTTACCTTGTTCAACCATCAACACCATCTCCAGAACTTTTTTCATCTTCCCCAACTGAAACTCTATGCCCATTAAATAAAAACTATCCATTCCTCCCTTCCCATAACCCCTGGCAACTACTTTCTACTGTCTCCTAGTTACATATTCTTTTACTAACCATCAAATATCTGTCAGTTATACTTTGTCTTGATTTAAGTACACAGTTTATTTCTCTCAGGCCTCAGGCAACTTTATATTTTATATTTTAAATATATATATAATGTTTATTTATTTTGGTAGACAGTGAAAGCAGGGGAGGGGCAGAGAGAGAGGGAGAGAGAGAATCCAAGTAGGCTCTGCAGTATCTGTGCAGAACCCCATGTGGGTCTCGAACTCACAAACTGTGAGATCATGACCTGAGCTGAAATCAACAAGAGTTGGACATTTAACTGACTAATCCACACAGGTGCCCCTCTCTCAGGCCACTTTAAATCTTAACCATTTAAAATTTTCCTAAGAGTAGACTACCAATGTTTTCCCTTTATAAGCTTACTTTGCAAATCCGTTTATTTATCCAATCAGCAGACATTTATTAAGGGTTTACTCTTTGCCAGGTGCAGTTCCAAGAGCAGGGATTCAGCAGTAAACATGGAAAACAAAGTTCTGCTTTTCTTTTTAGTTGTCCAAATGCACTTCCTGCACCTATCATCCTACTTCTTAACTCTTATTTGTGTTTTGTCTGCCATCCAAATCAGCTTGTGGGATCTTAGAGAATAGAGAGCATGTCTTAATTCTTTTGTATCTCCTATGTCAAATCCCGTGCACAAGAATGAGTAAGCAATCAGTAAGCACTCGTGGAACTGAGCCAAATGCCTCACTGGGGTGCAGTGGAAGATCTCTTAACCCAATTCCTCTAACTAATGTGCTAAGTTACCAGGTGCTCTGAAATTCTGAAAACACACTGATACCTGTAACGTGCTCACTGTATACACTGGTTGTACATTTTGTAATACACTCTCACATTTTTCCATTGAGTTGAGGCAGGTATATACTGAGAATTATCCATGTTTCTTCTCAAATATTTTTGCCTATTGTATTTGTTACTATAATTTGTAATTTATAAAAATTGATAAAATATGAACATAAAAAGAAAAGGTGTTTGCTGTTTCTGTGAAAACAAATTTCAATGCCTTGGAACATTCCAGTAAAGACAAGCTGCTTTTCAAAAAGTTGCTATTGAGCTGGGTGTGACAAAGCAATTTAAAACATTGAAAAAACAAGTATAAAAATCCAGAATGATTAATTGCCTTGCAGTAACCTTTAAATTCTCACTCCACTTTAAGGAGAGAAAAATTTGGGCTGCCTGGGTGGCTCAGTCTATTAAGTGACTGACTCTTGATTTCAGCTCAGGTTATGATCTCATGGTTCATTGGTTCAAGCCCCACGTTGGGCTCTGTGCCCTCAGTGCAGAGCCTGCTTGGGATTCTTTCTCTCTTCCCCTCTCCCCGCCCCTCTCCTGCTCGCTTCTCTCTCTCTCAAAATAAGTAAATTAAACTTTAAAAAAAGAAAGAAAGAAAAATCAGAATTATCAGATAGCATTTTGGATATAGTTTGTGCAAGAGAAATATGTGGATCTCCAATTAGAGGAATGGCTTTGGCTTTACATCAAAAGTTTGACAGGTAAGTGAAAGTACATTAGTATGATTCGACATAATAATAACTGTTTAAGTATGGAGCTTCTTCACAAAATTAAAAATAGAATTGCCATATGATCCAGTAATCCCACTACTGGGTATTACCCAAAGAATATGAAAACACTAATTCACAGAGATGTATGCACCCCTATGTTTACTGCAGCATTATTTATAGTAGCCAGATTATGGAAGCAGCCCATGTGTCCACTGAATGGATAAAGAAGTTATGCTATATATACACAATGGGATATTAGTCAACCATAAAAAGGAATGAAATTTTGCCATTTGCAACAACATGGATGGAGCTAGAGGGTATAATGCTAAGTGAAATAAATTGGTCAGAGAAAGACAAATACAATATGATTTCACTCATATGTGGAATTTAAGAAACAAAATAAACAAATTAAAAAAAGGAAAAAACAAGAAATGCACTCTTAACTATAGAGAATAAACTGATGGTCACCAGAGGAGAGGCTGGTGGGCAGATGGGTGAAATAGGTGATGGAGATTAAGAGTATACTTCTCATGATGAACACTGAATAATGTATAGAATTGTTTAATAAATATATTCTACACCTGAAACTAATATAATACTGTATGTTAACTATACTGGAATTAAACATTTTTAAAAAGCTAATCAACCAGAGGCAAGCAAAAACAATAATGATGATACACAATGAGTGAAGTAATATAGAAGACTAAGTGATCTGTATGTATGTACAGGGGACTTCCAACTTATGTCAACTTAAATACCACTTATGCATCTCTGTCTTTATTTTTAAATTAGTTTAGAACTTATAACACAGTTCTCAAAAAAAAAAAGCACACCACATCTAAAATATAGACTTGTAAGACAATCAAGCCATTCTACTTTAGTACATAAGGTATCTAATCACCATGTATGTAGTACGTCATTTCTATGGGGAAAATGTGCTCTAAATTTTAAATCAGTATTCCAACAACATGCTTTTTCTGAGTAACAAAGATGTCCCCACCCTTGAGGACAAGGAATAAAGTAGAGGCTCTTATTCCTCTTACAGTCACTTGCTTGTCTCTGCAAATGTTCAAGAGAAATTTTAACTCAACTGTCTTTTGGAGATACTAGACCCATGTTCTAAACTATGCTGCACATCAGAATCACATGAGTAGCTTGTGAAAATACAAGTTCCCAAGATCCACACTGGACCAGTAAAATCCAAATCTCAGGGACCTTGGCATTGGCAGTAATCATAAGCTTCAAGCAATCCTGATGTGCACCAGGGTTGATAACCACTGACTAACTTCTCTACTCCAGTATGCCTTTTTTGCCAGTTCAGGCTCTGGGCTCACAAATTGGGCAGCTGTACACATGAAAACACACTTGGTTAAGAATATTTCTAAGTAGAGGGGGAGGAACGAAGATGGTGGAAAAGCATGGAAGTTTTTTTTGTGTGTCTCATGTCCATTAAATAGAGCCAGATCAACACTAAACCTTCCTGTATACCTAGAAAACTGATTTGAGGATTAACACAAAAATATGCACAACCTGAACCACAGAGCTCAGCAGGTACTTGGTGCAGAGAGGTGAACTGGGGGAGAGAGGAGCCACAGAGGGCAGGGAGCTGTTTTTGCTTGTGGAGACAGGATGGAGATGGGGGGAGAGTATGGGAAAAACATGCCCCCCCAAAAAGCAGCTGGAGGGAAAGTGGAAAAGTGGAAACAGCCATGGGGACTGAACTAAAAAAGGAGAAAGGAAAGGATTTAAATTTCATCAAGACTCTGTAAACAGGGGGAGCACAGAGTCTGAAACTCTGCAGCTCAATACCTGATGGTGCTCTGGTGGGAAGGGTGAATCCCCGGGAGCAGAGTAGAGTCTGGGAGGTCCTCAGGCCACATAGGAGAAGTGGCTCCACTGCTGGAAAAACATTTGGTAATGGCTGTGCAGTCACCCAGTCCCAGCAGACCCCAGAGAACAAGGTTGTTACTGGTGAAGCCTGGTGCCAGATGTGTATTGTGGTTTTCCATAATCCCTGAAAAACTGCTGCTACACGATCATGTGAACTTTTCCTGGGGCAGGCTGGCACCCAGGCACAGTCTCTGGACATTGGCAGCAGCACAGTCCCACGAATGTTCCTGGGTATCGCTGGCACCTGGCCATTGCTTGGTGAGACCCTCCCCCAGAGGATCTGAGCGGATCAAAGTTGAAGTGCCTCAGAAGTGAGGGGTTGGGAAACAGCTGCATCTGAGATAAAACTCATGAGGGAGGTGCCACCTGGCAACCTAACAGCTTGGTCACAGACAGTGTAAAAGTGCAGAGTGGATGGAAGCCAGAGACAAAGGACTGGTGTGCGATTGCTGGCAGGGGGAGCACAGAGTGCTGATACTAGAGACTGGGTAGCTGGGTGACACCCCCTCCTTCACATGCGCAGTCACACCTACAAGCACCACAACAATCCACCCACTAAGCTAAGCTGTGCCATCTAGTGGAGAATGGAGCCATTACACTAAGCCCCACCCAACAGGGCCAACCTCGCTCTTCAGGCACACCACAAATCTCTCCACCTGCTTAGTTTGTGGACTATAAAATGTTTCATAGTTTGAATTCTAGGGAAAAACATATTTCATTGTATTTCAGCCTGTTAACTGGTCCATCTATTGAATTTTCTTTTTTTATTTGTTTCTTTTTTTTCTTGAATACAGAAAGAGAAAAAATGCTTTTATTTTCAATTTTTATTAAAATTTTATTTTTATTTTTCTCCTATATTTATTACTTTTTTGTAAATTTTTCAAATTATTTTAGTTCCATCATTTCATTTTATTCTATTTCATTGTATTCATTTTCTCAAATTTTCAA